CACCAGACACAAGAACTTCCTGTTCCCCGTTCACGTTCCAATATTTATGGAGCAGGAAGGTTTTGCTTGGTTCTGCTTCCTCTTTTCTCCAGCGCTCCTGTCTTAGTGCCCTTGGCCTGCTAGATATAATAAAGCGCTGTCAGCTGTGAGGCTGCTGAGCAGCAGGAGCTGCTTGCTGGTGGTTCTGGATACCGGACAGTGCTCATAGCATTAGCGTGTGGCCAGGGCCCGCTTTCTGGCTCCTGGCCAGCTTGTCTTCCAAGTCACACCCGGCGGGAGGGGTGAGGCTGCTCTCTGGTGTGTAGTTACGGGGTCCCCACTCTCATAACTTTGTCACCTCTCACAGGCCCCATCTCCAAGTGCCATCACCTTGAAGGTTGGGGGGGGCATCAACAGATGAGTTTCATGAGGACATAAACACTCAGCCCATGGTAGCCTCCTTTGAACTAACCCTTGAGGGTACTCTCCTTCCTAACCAGGCATGTCAACAAAACTTCTTGTCACCTGAAAGCTCAAATAATTTCACTTACTACAGTCCATGTCATGATTCAGGTCTCTTCTTCGACATGGTCAAATTGATGGCCAGCTGTATGCAAAACTGGAATTTGTCCATGCGCTAAATTTTGCCTGCATGGCTTTGTACCCTCAGCCTTTCTTATTCAATGAAGTGTGGAAACTCATTGGGGGGGGGAGTATCTCAGCGGGTTTATTTGTTTGATTATTTATTTAATTAAATAAAATAAATTTTATTTAATTAATAAATTAAATAAGGGTTTATTTCAGTTTCTAGCTTTGTAGCCATCTCTAGAGAAAGTCATGGCAGGAACCTGGAGGCAGGAACTGATACAGAGGCCATGGAGAGACCATGCTAACTGACTGGCTTGCTCCCTGTGGCTTTTGCGGCCTGCTTTTTTATAGCACATGGGACCCACAGCCCAAGGGTGGCACTCCTCACAGGGAGCTGGGCCCTGCCACATCAGTCATCAACCAAGAAAATACCCGACGATCTTGTCCAACATACTAGAAGCATTTTTCTCAATCGAGATTCCATCATCCCAAATGACTCTAACTTGTGTCAGGCTGACAACACACTAGCCCAGCACAGAGACTGTGTTAGTTTTCTGGGGATACTTAATAAACCCGAAACAAGCTAGATTGCTCAAGTCCTCTGGGATGTGTTCCCATAGATGTGAAGGTAACAAGTCTGGCATGGAAATGTCCTTATGTTCCATGGGAAGAACCCACCCTTTTCTGTGTGCTTCTGGTGGCTGTTGGGCACTCTGGGCATTCTTCAGCTTGCAGACAGGTGTCTCTAACTGTGCTCACATGGCCTACTCTCCTATTTCTTCTATGCCCCCCTCTCTCTCTTTCTTTCTCTCTCTCTCTCTCTCTCTCTCTCTCTCTCTCTCTCTCTCTCTCTCTCTCTCTCTCTCTCTCTCTTGGTTTTTCAAGACAGGGTTTCTCTGTGGCTTTGGAGGCTGCCCTGGAACTAGCTCTCGTAGACCAGGCTGGTCCTGAACTCACAGAGATCTGCCTGTCTCTGCCTCCCGAGTGCTGGGATTAAAGGCGTGCATGGCTACGCCCAGCTACACCTCTCTTTTTAGGGATCAGCTTTCCATCTGTATCTCAGACATGTCTTCTTACTTATCATGTCTGCAAAGACCCATTTCCAAGTAACATTTGTAAGTACCAAAGGCACAATAGGGTGTGAGAAGAAAACGCTCCCTGGGAGTGGTACACACTGTGTCTTGGGACACAGGGACAGAAAGATCAGAAGTTCAAGGCTAGCCTCTTAATTTTTACATGGTGAGTTTATGGCTAGCCTGGGCTATCTGACATCTTGTCTCAACACATCCCTTTGGGAGAAGAAAGAACACACATACTCTGTTTTGTTTATTTTTTTAAATAAAGTATCTTTGGCTTTATATTTGCAATGATATCGACAATCATATCATCTTAGCCACTGTTCCATTGCTTTGAAGAGACACCATGACCAAGGCTTTCTTATAAAAGACAGTATTTAATAGGGGACCTCCTTACAGTTTCAGAGGCTTAGTCTGTTATCATTATGATGAGGAACATGCCAGCATTGCAAAGAGACTTGACGCTGGAGAAGTAGCTGAGAGTTCTGCATCCTGATCAGAAAGAGAGCAAGACTGGATCTGGCATGGGCATTTGAAGCCTCCACGTCTACCCCCAGGGACACACTTTCTCCAATATGGCCTCCTAATTGTTCTTTCTAACCTTTCTCAAATGACTAAGCATTCACATATATGAGCCTATGAGGGACATTCTTATTTAAACAACCGCACATATGTGTAGTTAAGAGTAGATACCTGCATAGATTTGGGGACTGTGAGAGAAGAGGAAATCTTAAAGCAGAGAGCAACCTGGGCCCTAGTCTGGTTCATGGCGATGCCTTGGTGCTTGCTCATTGCCACGACAAAAGTCCTTTCCTGGATGGCTTCAGCATGACATTTTCTCAGTTAGAGATACTGAGAAGTTCAAGGGGAAGGGGCATATCTGGTGTTTCTCACTCTCCTGCAAAAAAGAAATGCTCATTTGTTTTACATGCGTGCTTGTGTGCGAACGTGTATGAGATCATGTATGGTGGTCAGAGCACAACTTGTCAGACTTAGTTGTTTCCGACCACCTTGGGGATTCCTGGGATGGAACTCAGGCCCTCAGGCTAGGCTGCAAGCTCCTTCACCCAGAGCACCATCTCACCAGCCCCATTCCATGCCTTGTCTCATAGGGACACTAACCCCATGAGATCAGACCCCTGTCAATGCAACTTCACGTCCTCTGCCTAACCTCCATGGGTAGCTCTTCTCTAATACATGGTCTCGTGGAGGGGGAGCATCATCTCTAGCGGAACAGAACTGATAGGATGAATATATACTAAAAGGGATTTATTAGAGTGACTGGCAGGCTGTGGTCCCATTGTCCAACAATGGCTGTCTCCCGACAGAAACTCCAAGAACCCAGTAGTTGTTTGGTTAGATAGACCAGCTTTATGTCTCAGCTATCTTCAGCAGATATTGAAATCCCAAAGATGCATGCTGTAAAATCAGTGAAGGAATGCCTCCGGTACAGATATATGAAATTGCTAGTGGCCATGAGGGCAGGCAGGTAGAAAGCAAGTTTCCCTTTTCCCTGTCCTCTTATGTAGGCTGCCACCAGAAAGGTGTGGCCCTGACTTAGGATAGCTCTTCAGACTTCAAATGTTCCAATCAAGAAAAATCCCTGCTAAGTATGCCCAGATGCTTGGATTTCAGTTAATTCCAGATGTCTGTGTCTATAGTAATTGTCTGTATGTAGCAGGTATGTATACATAGTAGGCTTCTGTGCAGTAGGTCTGCGTGCATTGTAGGACTTCAGGTATAGCAGGTCTGTGTGTGTAGCAGGTCTTGTCTGTAATATGTCTGCAGAGTAGGTCTCTGTATGCAGCAGTCTTGTCTGCCACAGGCGGTGAGCACTGTCAATGTGCTAGCTGTGCTACATGCTTTGGTGCTGGTGACAGCCCTGGTTCCCCTTCCCCAGCTGTCTTTCCTTTGTCTGCCCCATCTGCTTATTGCTCATAGGACGATAGGCCTTAAACGAGGAATTTATCAGCACACAGCAGGGTCCCCAGGAGCTGGGACCTCAAGCCACACAGACGTAGAATTCACCTTAAGCTCAGACCTCCTTGGTAGCAAGCTTTGAGCAAAGTCTCAGGCTTTTCATTCAGGCAATGGTTGGTACCCCCCTCACCAGTTTCCACTGAGGGAAGGCCCGTGTGCCTTTAGGGTGATAACAGTCCTGCCCAGAGGGAGAGGCTTGGGCCGGACCGTGGACTTCTCCCCACAGTAATTCTGCAGTATTCTGCTAGCTATCAGTGTAATCTTGATCAAGGCACTTCCTCTCTTTTAATGTTTTTAAAATATAATTAAATTTATTATTATTATCATTATTATTATTTGTTGGGGAAGTCCTGTTATTTGCCTGTGCATTTGTCAATAAAGTACTGTCTGGCCAATAGGGAATCTAGATAGGAGGGACTAGGAGTCCAGGAGGACTCTGGGTAGGAGAAACACAAGAGAGCTCGAGATGTAACGCCATTGGGGTAGGAAGCCCGGAAACCTCTCCGGTAAGAGACATACTTAGATTAACAATTATGGGGTAATTACTTAAGTCAGAGCTAGCCAGTAAGAAATAAGCAAGGCCAACAGCTTCATAATTAATATAGCCTCCTGTGTGTTTATTTGGGACTGATGCGGATCTGGAACCAGGCGGGCGGAACGGCTCCTTCTCAAGGAAAAAGCTTCTCTTAACAATTATTATTATTATTATTATTATTATTATTATTATTATTATTATTATTATTATTGTATGTGTCTGTCTGTGCAAATGCCGCACAATAGCTGTAGCAGTCAGGGAACAACTTGGTCAAGTCAATTTTCTCCTTCCCATGGTTCTAGGAGATTGAGCTTGGGTCATTAGGCTTGCACAGCAAGCATGTTACCCCGTGAGCCATTTTGCCTCCTTACCTACTCAGTTCTCATGTTGCTACCTAGCAAGATGAAGCCTCCTTTCTCCCAGTGGTGAGATGCACCTCAAGTGACAGGAAGCACGGAATTCGTTAGCTGTCATTAGTAAGGAGCTGTGATTGGTGGACTGAAATGATGTCAGGTAGAGCTCCGTTCAAGTTCAAGGTCTTGAGTCATCCCCAAATAGCCACCCTTAGAGATAGCATCCAATGTCTGGGCGGTGGTGGCACATGCCTTTAATCCCAGCACTCAGGAGGCAGAGGTAGAAGCAGGTGGATCTCTGTGAGTTTGAGGTCAACCGGAAAAAAAGAAAACAGAGAGGGAGAGGGGGAGGGGGAGAGGGAGGGGAGAGGAAAGAAACCGCATCCAATGATGGTCCAGTCCTGTCTTCCCCAGCTGGTCTCTTCTGCATCTTTCATTGCTTCTGCCTGCAGCTTCATGGTGTTAACCCAGGTATCTCTCCACGTCCAGAAACCCGGGATGCTCCCAGATCACCCGGTTCCCGCTGTACCCTCTGCTCCTGCCTGCCGTTCACGATGCTGATCTGGTTTCCCTCCTCCAGTCTTCAGTCTTCCGGCAGAGCACACGGTGAGTCGGGGATGTGGGAACTCCCACACGCCATTGACAAGGCTCGGGCCTGGACCCGGACCCACCTCTCTTCTTCTGTGAAAAGAAGGTCGGTGTGACGTCCCCAAGGTCACAGTGTGTACAGACCCTGGGGGCCCTTAGTCACACTTGTAGAAGTCCACTCTCTGGAGATGGGGGTGGAAGTTGTTTCCACTCTTTTGTTGGTGGTGCTGTTGTTCTACTGTGTCACAGAACCCCGAGGACAGCTTGTCTGGCCAGGACCAAGTGCTCAGCAGTTTCTATAGAGCAAACGATGCTACGGCCTCCTCAGTGTATCCATCCAGGAGGCACAGGAGTTATGTGTCTGTCCTGGTGCTTGGTTAAGTGGGATGTGCCAGGTTTCTCTTCTGTAAAATGTTCATTCTTCTGAATTTAGCTGTCTCGCTGGGAGGCACTTCAGAACCATGCAGGTTTCTTATTTCTCGTCACCCTTCTTTCCCCTCAACTGATTTTAGTGTCATCGAGAATTCTTGTGAGTCAGTTATCACTATGCTGTTTGCCAACGGGGTTTCTCCTCTTATTGTGGCTTCTGCATTTGCTAGATAGGAGTCCACTGCAAGGCACAACTTCATTTTCCATTAAAAATGCCACCTATCTATTGGATATGGACTTGTAGGTTCTTGCTAAATTGTTATAATCCACGAGTAAAACTACATTGTTACCCAGGTTTTCCTAAATTTGGTCATTAGTATGCCCTTAAAGTTGGGTTCTGTAGCTTGTTTTGACATGTCACCAATGTTTTGAGCTCTCTTTTACATTTCGGTCCAAGCTTACATTGTGCCCTGCCTGCCCCATGCCTGGAATCTGTGGTATTTTTGCCCTCCCTGAACTAAGTATGAAATGATTACCAGACAAACCCAACTTGAGAGACATTCTACAAAAGAATGCCTGAAGAACAGCTTCATAGTGAAGAGAGGGACTAAGGAGGGTGGGAAACAGTTCAGGCAGTGAAGTGCCTTTCTCATATGCACGAGGACTTTGAGTTCAAGTCCCATAACCCACGTAAAAATGTTGGACGTGGTGGTAGAAGTCCGGAATCCTAGAGTTGGCAGGAGGTGCATTGGGGATCCCTGGGATTTTCCAGCTTGTCTAGATTTCCTGGAGAATGCATAAGCCAATGAGAGGCCTTATCTCAAACAAAAGGAGGAGAGGCACCTTATGTATGAAGACTAGGTTTGCCATTTGATCATCTCCACACACACACCCCTGTTCCTGCACAAACATGCACATTCTCCTCTCACACACAGGAGGGTAACTAAGGAACCAACATGATGGCACATGCCCGAAATCCCACTATCTGGAAGGCCAAGCCTGGGAAATTGCCATGAGTTCATAAGTTCAAGGTCAACTTGGGCTACATAGACTAGCCAAGGTTACATTGCATAACACTGTCTCAAAACTGCTGAATAATAAAACCACAAAACAACAAACAACCCCTCCCCCACCCACCCAATAAAAGACTAGGAGACTTCTCAGTTTCATACAGTTTATGACTTAGGTCAGATTCTGTATTGGAAAAGTCATTATTGGTGGATTTAAATGAAGATTCTTAGTCAATAGAACTAACTTCCACATATATTTATATTATTTATTTTGGCTTGTTTTTTATTTTAATTAATTTATTTACTTTTTAATTTTATGTGCATAATTTTATGGTGTTTTGCCATGGGTGTTGGGTCCTCTGGAACTGGAGTTAGACAGTTGTAAGCTGCCATGTGGGTGCTGGTAATTGAATACAGGTTCTCCTGGAGAGCAACAGTCAGTGGTCTTAACCATTGAGCCACCTCTCCAACCCCCTTGGTTTGGTTTCTTTGAGAAAGGCCTTCTCTGTATAGCCTTGGCTGTCCTAGAACTTGCTCTTTAGACCATGCTCAAATTCAAACTTCCTCTGCTTCCTGGATGCTGGGATTAAAGGTTTGTACCACCATTGTTAGGGTCCAGATAAAATTTAATAATTGTGCTGTAATAATAAGTAAGATAGCAATATTTGGGAAAGTCTGAGGCTATACAGGACTTTTCTGTACTTATTTTATAAGTATGATATCATTGCAAATAGAAATTAAATGAAAATTATACAACAGTAAGATCTGTCTGTTTGAGGGTAAATGTATTCATCAATTAATGAAAAAAGACTAACTGTTGCACGAATTATCCTGAATTGGTCTATTTTTTAAAAACAAAAACAAGATAGGCCCATATAGTACACATTCATGCTTACCTACACATGTAGAAATTCTAAGAAAAGCGTGTGTTTTCTCTTAACACACATTTCTGGGAAATATGATTGGGAGGCATGAGGCAATGGAAGCCTTTCCTTTCTGGAACTTTTAAAAATAAGCAGGTGCTAGTACTTGGAGACTCATCAGCACCTGGTTACATGTGTGTACATGGCATGTTCGTGTGCCCCACTCTGATGCCTCTGTGCCCAGCTCTTCCCCTATGCATGTTTTCCTGTATATACTTACTATGCAAACGCACTTGCTGGAGGGATGCTCCTGTCTTTTCGTTCTGTTAGCTGTTTTCTCCCATCCGATCCTTCTGTGGGTGGTTTTACACGAAGGTAGTGGGCATCAGTCCCTGATGGTTCAGTGATGCCAGCTCCTTGTATGTTTCTCAGATGCTTGGCAATTGTTAGACTTTCCACACTTTGTTTCTAACTCGGGATCATTTCAGACTCCCCAGAGTATACAGGTTAGAATTGCAGTAGTTCCTTTTCGGATTAAAAGAGTTACTATGTTCTTAAGTACTTACTCTGTGTGTGTGTGTGTGTGTGTGTGTGTGTGTGTGTGTGTGTGTGTGTGTGTGTGTGTGTGTACAGACAGGTACATGCATGCCCCACAGTTCAATTGGAGGTCAGAGGACATGAGATCAGAGGGGTCATGAGTTCTTCCCTCCCATGCTGTGTTTAAGGCAGAGTCTCTCCTGTTTTTTTGCCACTGAGCTGGCAGGCAGGAGTTCATTCTCCCAACTCTGCCTCCATCTTTGCTTGGCTGTGCTTGGACCTCAATTACAGACCAGGGTCACTGCTTGCAGCTTTTTAAATGTGGGGATTGAACTCAGGCTGTGCACCAAGCCCTTTTACCGCTGAGCCATCTGACCAGCTTGAAGCTCTCAGGATGTTTTAATGACCACCAGACCGCAGTTTCCGCAACATTGTTTTCCTTCTGTGTGTGAGACGAGGTCTTGCTGGTAGCTCTGGCTCACCTAGAACCCTATGTGTAGCTCAAGGTGACCTTGAACTTGAAGCTCTCTTCAGGGAGTGTGCAATGACTATACCACCTTTGCCTTGCAGTCACTGAGTTATTTCCTCTAGGTGGACTCATCTTACAGACCAGGTAGCTTTGACAAAGGAGAGGTGTGTGGGAGTGGAAAGCAGTGTCTCTGGAATGAGGCTTCTACATGCCTTGAGCTGTTGTAGATGCTGACCACTGTAGCGTCCTGCTACTGTGTGATGATGAAATTGACGAAGACCAGGGTGAGCCACAGGCCCTGGATGCTCATCGAGTTAGCTCTGAAAGACCCTTTGACCCCCTTTAGGGTCCGTTCTCTCTAGAATATTCTCTGCCACTCCTTGTAGCATTCCAGCTTGGCTATCATCCCTTTAGTACTGAGACGTGAGCTCATTTTTGCTATTGGGTCTTGCCTTTTGGTATCTCATTGGATGAGACTGTGAGCAGCAACTGTTCAGGTGGCTATAATGGTAGCTGAGGAATCCATGAGAGTCTTCATCAAGCACACATTGTGCTGGGGACATGTCATTCACCGTGTCATCACCTCCCAGTAATCCTTTGGTGTGAGCCTTGCTGAGGGCTGGCACCTAAGAGTTCCCAGTCAACCTGATTAGGAACCAGAAGGAAAGATGGCTGTCTCTCTTTGCAAAGAAGTGTTCACTTGGGTGTTTATAAGCTCTCCCAGTAGACTTTTGGAAGTTGAAACAAATTATCCCACAAAATTATGCGTATATTTCCCAAATAGATGTTTGAACCAGCATCAGTGCCCATTCCCACTACGTCATGACCTACGGGAATGTTACTATCCATGTTAAAAGCATGAAATATTAGATATCCACTTAATTCGGTAGCAGAAACACATTTGGGAAACCAGAGGTAAGGGAAGAATCGGGCGAGCCAACTTTTCAACAAAAACTAACCTTGGTCCCTTAAGTTTAGTCAAAGAGCTGACAAGATGTTCAGAGATTTTATGATTGATTAAAAGTTATTCTAGCTCCACACAGCAAAGCATCTCTATCTTTCAATATACGGACTCCATAAAGGGTCTACTGCCGTATGTCCTACACAGGTGCGATGTTTATTGCTCCTTCTTCAGCACCCTCCCCCACCCCCAGTTCAGCTGCCCCTGTAGGAGAAACAGTGAGGGAACGGCAGTTTTGAAGTCAATAAGAACACATCAGTTGTTAGATGGACCTCTCCCTAGAGCTCTGTGACTTTTTTTCCGAATTTATTTTGGAGAAAATGACTGTGCAATGGGAGACCTTGGGAAACACACTAAGGGATCTCTGAGTACTTGGTAAATCAAGTGCTCCTGCCAGGCTTCACGGATGCGTTGCGTGAATGTGAGCAGTGCAGATTCACAGGTTGTTGGGCAAATTGCCATCCAGTCTTCAGTCCTTGACATGACCAGTGCAGGGACAGTGAAGTGTGTCATGATGAAGATAGGATGTTGTTTCTCTGTGGATTTAAAAATACGTGTGTTAGGGGCTGGAGAGTTGGCTCAGTGGTCAAGAGCACTGGCTGTGCTGCTCTTCCAAAGGATCCAATTTCAATTCCCAGCACCCACATGGCAGCTCACAACTGTCTGTGACTCCAAGATCTCATACCTTTACACATACATAAATTCACGGAAGGCAACAACGCACATTAAAAACAACTACAATAAAAAATCTAAAAAAAAAAATACGTGTATTAGCCTGGTGAGCATGCTGCTGCAGAGCTCTGACGTTC